CTTCCTTCTTCTCAGGGATTTTTTCCCACAAGGGGCCGTTTGGCCGGGAGGGAGTAAAAGTAAAACCAAGAGTAGAGGGAACACGTGCCACCAGCAGCGAAACCTGCCTGATAAGCTCCCGGGGAATTCTTTCCTTTCGCGTTTTGGGTGTCCAAAGGACACGGGAGAGCTCCCGCTCCTCCTCGGCCTGCCAAGGCCGCTGGGAACACATCAGACATCTCTTTTGGCTCCGAACAATGCGCCCGTGTGGGTTATCAGCGGGGCACGCAAGCTCCCCCGAATTTCCTCCCCGGGATGCGATGCCCGGAGCGGGAGTCTCTCACCGCAGCCTCCCGCCTCCTCCATCGCCACGTGATGCCAAAAACAGCCGCCAACTCCCGGCCAACCCGCAGGAATCGAGAAACAAAATCTCCCAAACCCGCTGTCACCCAGCAACCCCAGCCCTGCCGAAGTGCTGCGGCACGGGAGGGGCTGCCGAGGTCTCCCCGAAACCAAAGCACTCCACCAGGTAAGGAGGCGGATTCCCGGCCGGCTGCAATCCTGGTTTCACAATCCCGGGGACTCTGGATCCTGCCGAGGAGATCATCATTCCCATGTCCGGCGGCTTCGGATGAGCTCACCGGCACCGCTCCCCCAAACTTCGGTCATTTGGGGGAACAGACAAGAGCGGTCCCAGCTCCTTTATTGCACATCTTGTCCCTTTTTCACAAAGTTTGCAGCTCCCGAGTTTCTCCCAGGCGGAGCCTTCCCGTGGACCAAGCCAGATGCTTTTTAAGGCAGTATCCCCAAGTAATGCATGCACCAAGCCATGGCTTGTCTGAGATTAAAACTGAGCCCCCCAGGAATATTCACTTTTATTTAAAAAACCCAAAAACTTCACGGAGCATTAAGCAGTCACCAGAAGGGCTCAGTGACTGCGTCCCCTTCCACTTGGGGGATTAAAACCCCTCCAAAACGCATCGATCCCATTCCGACCCACCGATATCACTCGCATCCAAGGCTGGCCATGGGCACGGCTGAGACCCCCTCGGTGCTCGCAGGCCCTTGCCGGGACACGAAGTATGGATGTGGCAGGGGTGGGTGGGTGGCCGTCCTTCTGTCCCCTCCGCACACCCACGGCCGCCGCTTTCGTGCGGGCAACACTCCGGCGACCCCCAAAATAAACCTCTCGCAGGAGCTTGAGCTCACGCTGCGAATCAGCCGCATGATCCAAAGTGTCCATAAATGGGTAAAATCCCGGGATCTGGAGCCTGCAACCCGTTTTTCCTTGCACGGCCCAAGGAGAGGCAGCCGATCCCGAGGAAGGAGCGCAGGGATCTCCCCCTGCTCGAGGGTTTCACCCGCCGAGGGAGCCCCAAGGCTGGCTGGGGTCCCCCCGCGCCTCATCCCTCCGCTCCACCGCGGCTCCCGCGGGACGCGCATCCTCCCGGCCCCGCACTCACCTGCGGCTGCGGCGCGGTGCCTCCCCCGGCGCATCGCTGCGGGCTCGGCTGCGGGGCTCGGCGCGGACGGGG